GCCCTGTGGCAAACCCCAGCCTCACTGGCCCCCATCTCTAAGAGAGTGGAATGCAAGTATTTTGTACCCACCAAGGGGCATGAATACTTATACACCCATCCTGCTCCTAACTCCCTAGTGGTCGAGTCGTCAACCACAGGGAGCAGCAGGGCCAGCCCGCCCCTACCCCGAAAAATAAAGATTCGCGGAGGCTGGACTCTTTTGGAAGGAAAATTTATTCGTCCTTGAGCTTCCAGTTATGGGTGGCGAACCACCAGGCTCTCCTGGGCTGATATGAGTTCAGTCTGTGGGGCTCCCTGCCCGAATTTGAGGACTCCCTCCAGGAGCGCGATAGGAAGGCGTTCAAAGCGCTGGTGGAGGAGGGTACAGCGGCTGCCAGGGCAACCCTGCAGGCAGGTTCAGATGCAGCGGACACGGCTGCACGGTCCATGGCCTCAGCGGTATCCATGAGAAGGGCATCGTGGCTCCTGCTCTCTGGACTGTCCAGCGAGGCACAGACCTGCAGGGAGGTCCTCCGTTTGATGGCAAAGCCCCCTGGAGTGGCGCCTTCATGGCGCTGGATATATACCCCAGCCGACCCAGCGCCCCCTCAGTTCCTTCTTACCGCCCGTGACGGTCATTGGAACTGTGGAGCGCAACATAGCTGTTCTCCACTCTCCCTAGCTTTACTTGTTCATTCTTGTAGATAGTTGTTGGTTATATACTTATAGATTAGTAGTTTGTTGTTAATAGTTTTGTAGAGTAGTAATAAATAGTTAGCGGGGGTTAAGGGGGCTTTTATCCCCCTTTTCCCCCCGGCGCGCAGCCGGGCTCGTGCCCAAGGCTCCTGGCTTTAAGTCATGCACGACCTGTGCTAAGCCTTTGCCAACGGGAGACCCTCACGACTCATGTCTGAAGTGTCTAGGGGAGTCTCACCAGATGGACAAGTGTAAGATCTGCAAGGCTTTCGGGCCCAGGACCAAAAAGGAGCGGGACTTTAGACTTAAGCAGCTCCTTATGGAGGCGGCACTTAGCCCAGATCTTCCTTCGGCGCACCAAGTTCCGGCACTGAGCGCCTTGGTGCGCAGCGCCCCGGCGGTGCCCTCCGGTACTGCACCACGAGGAGACGCAGATAAGGCCCCACTGCACCGTCCTCCGTCGGCACCGCGTCCGCCGCAAGTCCCTTGGCGCCATTCCCTGTCTCCGGGACATAAAAGACCCCGCAAGACCCAGGACGCTGCTGTCCAACAGGCACCGGCTCCCCCCGCACCAGTGGT